CGCCCGTCGGAAGTGTTTGGGGGACGGGCCTCCTGCGCCCTGGCCTGGCAGGAGCGCCCTGGAGAGAGACGCGGTGAACCGACCTCCGGGATGACTTTACCCCGAGCCTCCTCCGTTGCTCCCGCCCCAAACCAGTGCCAGAAGCGCACGGCGCGCAGCTGGGATCCACAGCTAGTGGGACAGGGTTGGAGGACTTGTCCTGAAAATGCCGCGAGCAACCTTAGCTTGGGACCCTGAGGCCCAACGAGGCGAGGACCGGTGACACGCCCCGGCCACCCACGGAGAAAGGGCGAGCCCACGCCCAGCGCCTGAGCCCCCAGCCTCCTGGCCCTGGTCTCCCCACCAGCGGCGCAGAGGGAGGTTGCCTCTGGTCCTTTGTATGGACCTCGCACGATCAGAGGGCTGGAATTACACCTTCAATCGAGGGTGGGACGCGGCTCAAGTGGACAGAAAACCCAGACACATGTCAATAGGCACTTCTTAAAAAGCTATTGGAGAATGCCCAAGTTCACCATGTTTCCTCCCCTGAACCTCTTCTCCCAAACCTTCACTCAGTCTTACCTATTTACCCACCAGACTGGAAGCTGTTTGAAGGGGGCCCAGCTTGTTGCTGTGGCTCACTCAATGGATCCCTTGTGATTGGCAAACAAGTGGATGCATTTGTTAACTGCCCGCCTTTGGGATCTGTGTCATTATTGTGTGACTTAAGGTTGTAAACTCGGGAGGGCCACGACTGGGTCGGGATTACTAGCCCGTGCCAGGCACAGCATGATGCCCAAAAGGACCAGCGATCATTTTTTTTTTTTTTTGACTGATGTGCAGGAGACAGATGCCTACCTCCTCTTGGTTCCCAGAACTGGCAGTTCCGGAGCTGGAGGTCCTGAGTGAGGAAGAAACTAAGAAACTGCCTTAGCTCTTTCCCAATTCGAGCCAACTTGCTGGGGCCAGATCCAGCTGCATTCACCATCTGAACACACAGGGTGTTGTGACTTTCTAGTACTGGGAATGGGTTCGCAGGGAGCCCTAAACTCCCCACTTTAACTCCCAAGAGTTGGCAACTGGAGCTGAGAAAAAGGAAGTAGCCAGTTTTTGCTCAGTGTGAAACAAACTGTCCATATAAGGATCAAACCTGTAGCTCTTCAACCATTTACCCCAAGGTTGAGCTGAATCCCATGTAGAGGAAGGAGGCTGCAAGCAAAGGGGACCCGTCAATAGAAGTTAACTCCAGTGCTCCTTCCTCCCATTCCACTACTTCTCTGTCACGTGGCCACTTTAGAGTCAGTCCAAGCTCCCTGCCCACCTCACACATCAGCCCCCAACCAGACAAATCTCTCTGTACTTCCTGAGCCCTCCACTGTCCTCACCCAAGCCAGCCTGCTCTAAATGGACACTCAGTGATCCAAGCAGAAACTGAAACAGTAACAATCAGTGTCAAGAGACTTGGGCAGAGATGCCTCTGAGCGCCCGGCCTCCTCCTCTGCCTTGGCACAGATGTTCTTATTGTCCTGGAAAGAAATACGAAATTCCCTCCCCAGGCATGGAGTGGGGACACTCCAGGACTTAGCCCCCTGAGGACAGAGTTGCCGACCCAGCACAGCCTCCCTGTGCCCTAATTATTCAGAATGGGACTGTCACCATGCCTCTTCCCCATCCTAGCTAAGGCTGGCCCTCTGGACCATTTGTCCTCCTCACCAAGGAGTTTAAGGGTAATGGGGCTGGAGCTGCATGAGACGATTACTAAACTATTCCTCAGTCCTCTTTAGGTACCGTTAGCACATCAAAATACATATGTGGAAAAAGCTCACAGTTAACACTGGAAGAAAAACAGTAAACACAGTGTCACTTTGCCAGGTTCAACAGTTTTGTTTTGTTTTGTTTAAATGCTAATGGCCTCAAATGGGGAGCAGCATCCATCAGTTAAATAAACAAGCCATTAGACAGAGACTAGAAGTGTCAACACATGACTAATCTACTAATTGGGAGACTGCATCACTAGTGAGGAGCGAGGCAGCAAAGCATGCTG